GGCAACGGTGCGTGCGAGCGCGCTCAGCTCCGCGGCAGGCGCTGCCGCCCCCCACCGTGCCCCTCCGCACCTAAAAACGCCAATTCCTTTCCTTTTTTTTTTTAATCATAGCAGTTACAGCAAAAATACTTTTGCTTGGGAAACGTCCTTTTAAACACGGCCACAAACATACGGGAGCAGTTCCCATCTCAAGAGTGAAGAAGAGGGGCCAGGCGGTTTAGTGCGCTCATCAGTGAATCCATTTGATGGAAAAGTCGTTCTAGGATCACCTGAGGTGCAAAGTATATTGGCCTGCATGCCCTAGCTGCACGGCTCTAATTTTTTTTTTTCTTTTCCCAGTTGAGAGGAATAATTCATTTCCAGAGCACTAAAAATCACCCTGTGATTACTCAATCATAGTAAACAGAGGCACCTGCATCTCTGGCAACTGCAAAATATTTAAAATATATTAGCAGTGATTTACATCAATGTTTCATTTCCTGCTCCCTTCTTTGAGACAGAGAAAAGAAACGTGGGATTCAGACCAAGCGCTGCCACAGAAACAATCATCATATTTAGCTACAGACTAAGCCTCCTGTTACTGGTAGCTACCTAAATTGGTAAAAAAAAATTTTGACAGGCATCTGTAATGAGCCAGCAATACTTACTGCAGGTGTTTTACAAAGCCTCAGAGGAAACAACATTAATATTTAATTTTAAACCTCTATTTCCTGTAATCCTGCACAAAATTCAAGGTCATGGGGATCTTCTTTCAGTTGGTTTTGTTTGCCACTCTCAGCTAACTCTGCACACCTGCAGTTTTAGAGGATTTGTTCTAGCCAACACAGCCTGAGAATATCAGCATCCCAATTTCTAAAACTCGATGTGCAAGTGAAACCAGAAATTTTGCGGCTAACTGAACTAAAGGTACATTTATTTTCACTGCCAGTCTGTAGGACTTTTTCTTCCTTTAGTGTTAATGAAACGTTAACCAACTCTCAGTCATTCAAACACTCGATGCTTATTTACTCCTACGTTGGATTCTACTTGTTTAGCTACTTCCGATGCAGAATGTGAAATAAAAATGACACACTGATTTCAGAACTCATAATAAGAGCAGCTACACTCATCCTTTAATGAATCACAACCAAACAGCTAAGAGAAATAACATTTAAAAAAAAAAAAGTTTGTCAGGACTTTAAAAAAAAAGACTTTCTAGCACCTCCGCCTTTTAATACAGTTTTCTTAACATCTCTTTTGGGTTAGTAAATACTATTAGCTCCACTTTACAGATGGGAAATTGGGATTTTTCACATTGCAAGACATGCTGCATTTTTCAACCAGAAATTAGGAGATGCCCCAAATAACCATTAGAAAAGCCAAACTGAAGTAGGGTGAGGATTTGAGAACAGTCTCACCTTTCCTGGTGTGAATACCACAGCTCCTACACACAGCATGGAACCCACTCTGAGCTAGAAGCAAGCATCAGACTTGTGTTTGAAGGAATTTCACAAGTTGCATTCCAAGTGTGGGTCATTCTCCAGCAATAGACAGGGAAGGCCCGAGAAACCCCTGGAGTTGGGATGGCTTAGGGCACGGAAGCACAGCCATCAGTGGAGAGCAGCAGCAGCTCTCTGACCAGAAGTGCAACCCAAGCACCTTGCGCGCTCCACGTGCTACGGGCAGCGTAGCCGCTAGTGCCCCAAGCCCTGAAAGGTGCAACGTAACGAGGCTGCTGTGTTTTAGTCCCTAAATCACAACAGAACTAGAACAAAGTGGACATTGATACTATTGAGATCCCAGGAATTCCTACTCACTCCTGTAGCACTTCAACAACGAATCTGTCAACCAAGTGCAAGGTCTCCACTAAATGATACTAACTACTGCAATTAGACAAGATAGTTGCAAAATAGCACCGAAGACGCTATGATTTCTACCAGCACATGTCATTATGCAATATATTAAACATGCAATTTGTGCAGTTATTTCAAGCACATTGTAAATAAAAGGTAATCTCCTACTTTCTTTGCTTAAAACCATTGTGAACATCATGAGAAAATGGAGCAAAGGAAGGGCTCAATTAGTGTGAAGTCCTTACAATATACTTGCTGGCTCTAGAAGACAGCAGCATCTTGATTTCGCTCATCTACTTCTCAGTAAGAGTTACAAAAGTAGAAATCGTTATTTAATATGTCCACTCATCAGTTTTACACTATTCAACTATAAATCCAAATAAGAATCAACATATCCTTGAGAGATGACACCTTGAAACCACTCAAAGTAAAGCTTTTCTGAAGGTGTTCAAAAAACTTACTGAAATGGATAGATTATTTAAACAGCTGAAAGTAGTACTATAAAAGCATATCCCAGAGTTTTCAGTTGTAGTAGCAGTCAAAATATGCTTAAAATAGAATTTAATGTTTATTTGAAAAAGATCAAACTGTAAATAGTATTTCACAAAATAAGTTAAATCTGCTGACAGAATTTTGGTGACCAAAGTCACTGTGACTTGACTGCTAATTGACAACTTGCTAGTGTAATGTTTATGGACTCTAACTTGCTCCTATAAGGTTAGATGGGATCTGAGGGTCATTTTTCCTTTATCTGTTACAACTCCTCATAGAAATAATCAACCAACTATTTTCTCTCCTATTAAGAGAAACAGCAAACATTATGAGCAACACGTCTGAAATGGATGATTCAACTTTTTGATTGAAATTTTCAAACACTTTTCAATCATTCAAGTATTATGGTCCCTATATACATACTTCTATGCAGCTAAAAAAAAAGATACGGTAGACAATTGAGCACACCGCCATCAAATTGTAAGAATTACAAAATCGTGGGATTTTAAACAGCAAATTGTACCTTAATCGTTTAATTAAAAATAGAAGAATTAGGTAGGCTATTCCGCAAATAAAACAGCACACTAGTGTGCTATATATTAAGGCATACCTTTACATGCGCACTTGTCATCTCTAACAAGTTTTATACAATTGCTACCAAGTGAAAGGAATATAATTGTCTTGCAAAACTGAGAAAGAAATACAAAATATCTGGAAGCCTACATTTTAAAAGTACAAAATTAACCTTCAGTTCGTGTTGAAATACTATACACAGTATAAACAGCAACTCTTGCCTATATGATCTCACGAGGATTTCTTAGAGCTGGAGGTAAATTTGAGGGTTTTGATTCTTCATCCAGAAGTACCAAATCTTCAATTTCACTTCCTTTGTATTTTCTTTTACATATCTTCACAATAACTTTCTTCTTGAGGAATAATTTCAAAGCTTCCCTCGAAGCAACTGCTTTGGCATTTTCCATACTTTTACCACAGCCAGTACCCAAATAGACAGACTTGCACCTCAGTTCACAAACTATATTTTCCAGAGAGCTCTTATTCTGAGGTAAGTCAGCAAGTTCCTTCAGTGGAACAAAAGCAACATCTAAAGTAGCTTTCACAGACTGAATAGACGAGTTTAGCAGTTCTGCGTGATTCACGTTAGGACTGAAGCCCCCAACAGCGACCAGCTTCCAGGCTACAGCTTTGTAGAGTCTGTTGAAGAACGGCTGCCTTTCCTTCGCATCCTCGCTGGTGAGGGGTTTGCACAGCGCCCTGGCGGGCCCGGCGCTCGCCGGCGTGCTGCTCTTGGCGCCGAGCTGCGCGGAAGCTGCCA